TGACAAGCAGATGTAGCAGTGGCATGGAACCAGAGGGAACTGTGAAACACTCTGCAGCAACTACCAAGATACAGCCTAGTTATAAACTACTCCCAGTTCTTTAGAGCTTCCTCAGCATATACTTAAGCAGATACTATTGCACTGCTCTTTCAATAGCTTGCTGGTATTGCACTCTATCATCATAATCCACTTAAAATTCAGTCAGACACTTCTTGTGAGCAGTGGTGCAAGGAAGCTCTGGATGGATTTCCTGATCTGAGGAAGGTCTGTCATACCCACAGGTGGAAAATGCAATCACATTACACCAGGACCTAAGAAAACCTGTAAAGGATCAGCATGAATTATGTGACTGACTCACACTAAGCACATCTGATTCATTTCCTTAATCTGAGCAAACACCTTCTCATTTTCTTCTATTTAAGCCACAAAGCTTCAGCCATTTCAGTTCCTGTATCTTTCTCTCCCACTGGTTCCTGTCACCCTTCCAGCGGTCTCAGCCTCAACTCATATAGAACATTATACATTCTCTTAACCCCTTTCAGGCTTCCTTTTCATTCCTCTTCCACAGCCTTCTGGGTAAGGAAAGCACAGGAACACTCCTTGCAGTTTGCCTCAGGCCTCAAAGTCATTAATCTGCCTTAGAGGCTCCCTGCCATGGAGCTAACACAATGCTGGAATTAGCAGCTGTGGTTGAGCAACATCAACACAGATAACCACAGGCACAGCCCAAGAGTCACCCATGAGAAACTCTGCACAGGGCCAGACTTAAATCCCTTGGTTGCTGGACTTAGAACAAGACACTGTTGGCAACGAAGCCTTCAGCTCTGCCCTTACACTGTCTTCTCCTCTAAGGAAGAGACAAAACACTTTATCCATACGCTTGCAAACCTTGCTGCTTCAGAGCCATTTATCTAATCCCAGCTCTGGGTTCTGCCTTGGCTTGGGAAACGTTCTGTTTTCTCTGTACTTCCAGAACAGCTTATCTCTGGAGCCATATTAAAGTTTCTCCGCTTCATTATCTGAGTTGTCATGTCATGAGTGCCACTATTATGAAACCCTGGCATGAAATTAAACTGCACGAGGAACTCATGGAAAAAAAAATAAAGAAATTCAGTTTTTCTTTCAAATGAAATGAGTTTTACTTTCCCTTCTTCACAGTCAGAAAGAATAGATATTAACAACTACAGCTGAGTCTGAACCAGCCAGATCTCTGAAGCTTAATCTGCCTATCACAGTACAACAGGTTCAGTGTTCAGCATTCACTGGTTACTACACCAAAGAACTGCAATTGAAAACAGCAGAGCTGCTTGTCACTAAACATAACCTCTTTGCAGCAGACTACACCAGTGAGACAATGCAGGGCGCTTGCCAGGGTCAAGCATCACTCCATCAGCTAACAAAAACATAAAGAAAACAACCAGCTTTGAGGCAATTCGGACACAGGAACTCTGGAAGTACAGAGTGTGTTCAGGATGTGACAGTGGGAGCTCCTGGTGGCCCCACATCATGGGGAAGAGTTCTGGCTCCATGACTTGCTCTGTGGCCTTTCTCTAACCATAAGGCCAGAGACCTGTTTACCACACTAAAAAGTGAAACCTTATTTTCTTCAGATTTACAAAGCACTCCTCCTTTCATGAAAGATGCCAGGGAAATGCAAGCTATCATATAGCAACTTCTTTAATATCTGTTGCCACTTGAAGCATACTAACAACGTGCCCACAAGAACTTCCCTACAAGTTTTCAGAGCGTAAAGCTTCCCAACCACTTTAAGGGGGATTTTGTAGCATCTACTATCACCCATAAATCAAAACAGATCCCTTCCTCTGCTATACAACACCCCCCACCTTCTCAAAGATTCAGTAAAACGAAGCCCAAATGCATTTGTGATTATGTATTCCTGGTAGGAAATGCAGATCCCTCCTGCAGCCTCCTTAAATCATCCCTATTCCTGCATTTGCCAACAGAAATTCTGTTCCTCATATTCAAGTGTGTTTCAGGCAGCCCGCAGCACCCCACCGCCTTTCCAAACCTATCTGTGTATGTCCTCCTGCTTTACATTCAGCACAGCAGCTGGTTTTCACTTAGGCAAAGGGACGCACGCTGCAGTTTGCCAGCCAGAAGGAATCAGGAGCATTTCAGAAGAGATCTCTTCAGGAGGGCAGGAGGAGTTTGAGTAGTTCTCCTCGCCCATATTAACTATATGATTAGGTTGAAATCTCTTGACCTTCTAAGACCCAGCAGTAACAGGACACCACTTTGCTGAAGTATCAACTTCAAGCACCAGGACTTCCTAAAATGTCTGCTGCCTCACCAGGAGCCCTGAATCCCTCTAAAATCCTGCCTGTTTATTACCATAAAAGATTACCTTGAAATGCCTTGGAAAGCCACATGTTCTCACATTTGTATGAGGTGCAGAACTTCTTTCTGCTAAGGCAAGCATATAACCAGCCACTCTTCCCTCTTAACATATGTATTATACAGGTCTTGTACACTTTAAGGGAACTTTATCTAGGCTTCTGCACCCCATTTCCCCAACGTTTCTCTAATCTGAACTCTTGAGTTCTTTTTTGGCTTTATTTCTGCTCCTTGCTTTTATTTCTCTTAACCTGCAGAATGAGATCATAGCCTAAACAAAGATAGGATAAGGGTAGCTTGTACATGAACCTCCTGAGGTGGTTTTCTAAGAGGGAGTCAGAGCATACAGGCTCATCAGAGCAGGAGCAGACCACATAATCATGCTCTAAGGTTCTTTCCCTCTAACTGAGAAGTTTTATAACAGATACACATTGCTTAGTCTGCAAAAAAAAAAAAGCACTTGAGAGTTCCACGAATGAGTAATTATGCACTGGAGGGCAAGACAGCTTTTCATCAGCCTGGCAAGAGAAAGGATCAAAAATGCTGGATCAGATCCATCTGCATCCCAAAGCAAGGGCATGCAGAAGGTACTCTGACCTGGGAGAGGATGGAAGCTAGGATGGCACACAGTCACAACAGACTAAGTAAAATCCAAGCATTTCTCAATGCCAGAGGCTCTGCTAGCTTGCAGGAATACAACTTTAGAAACATTCCTGTTC